GGTGCCGGGTGGCCGGGGTGACAGGGAAAGTCGGTGGGGGGTGCACAGCAATTAGCTCACATGGCGGAGCGCCCGTTTGACGTGCGGGAAGCCTAGGATTCGATCCCCGTGTGCGCTGGGACCTTAGCACGACTGCCGTTACATCCCCTGTGAGCTTCCAGTAGTTTTCGTAATCCTGGAAACTATATTTGGACAATTTACAAATCTATTGTTGTTAGCCCGATCTTATAGTCATCAGATATTTCATAAGTATCCAATCACAACGCGGATATCGGACATGATGATGTCCACGCATCTTCTCCATTTTTGTCAGAAGACAAATGTAAATTTAAACCTCTGTACATGGTTGAATCAACACTGTTGCCATTATTCATGTTGTTGTCTTCCACCAAGTACACCGACATGGTGTCGGTCGGCTCGGCGGATCCAATGCACAGCGGCGAGGTCCAATACATCACTGAAGCACGAATGGTTAAAGGCCGGAAACAGTACCGCGTTGTATGGGCTCGACCTCACTTGTGTGGCCGAAAACAATCCTGGGTTTATGCCAACCTACTGGAGAAGTGCCCACAAGCAATTGCAAGCTTCAACCGTTGGCAAGACTACTGCAAACAACACGGCGAGTGCATATCGTTTGCCACGTTCCGTTCCCACGACGCTCATTGGCTGGATTTTTGCGACGATGGGTCCAACACGTGTTTGATTACTGCCTTTCGAATTGCTGCACGTCTCCTTAAACAGCCTTTGGCCGTGAGTGACGACGACATGGCAGCCTATATGGAGTCCAATGGCATTTCCGCCAACGGCGGCATCCCAGCGCAGTGTATGCGAAGTTTCATTCGATTCTTGGGAACGAAGGGGTTCAAGTTCAGTCATGCCGTGTTCGGCAACAACCTTTTGTTGGAATCGAGCGGCAATCCAACCATTGATTTGTGTGCGACGGTTCGACGAGTCGGCGAAGGTGTATACTTGTTGACCTCAGTAACGCAAAATATCGCGCACTGCTGGATCGTACACTGCGATGACTACTTAACGACCTTGTTCGACAGCGCAGGTGCGATACCCCTTGGTGAATTTCCTGCGGTAGACTTCATTCGGACTATTCGCCGCATTTCTCCTTACAAGAAGAAACGGTACCGCAAACGAAATCGTAACAACGAGCATGCAATGATCATCTAATGCATTTATCTTGTTCTATTCGTCGAGTTCTTTGATTGCACACCACCGCAGCAGCATCTTCATCTCCCAGGGCCAGTGCCATGTCGAGCAGCGTTTCACCTTGAAAGCCTTCAATCGTTGCG